CAGACGTGGAGAAGAGATTGCCAGGGGTCAGGAGAAAAGAAAGGAAAGACGGAGGAAAGTGGGTGCAATTATAAAAGGGCAGCACATCAATTACCACAAACATATAGTAACAAATAAATAAATAAAAGTTAAAAAACTAATTCAGAAAAAAATTTAAAGGTAGAAGGGCAGCACAAAGGATGTTTGTGCCAATGGGACTGTCCCCTGTCTTTGATAGTTGCAGTAAATACTTGTACCTGAGGTAGACTTGATAGAATTGCATGGAATTAAATACAAGCATTCAGGGGAAGGGGATGTAGCTCAGTGGTTCTGCCGCCTGCCTTGCAAGTGCAAGGACCAGAGTTCGATCCCTGGTACCAAAAAAGAAAAAGAAATCAACTAATAACAAATGTTGGCGGGGTTGTGGGGAGAAAGGAACCCTTCTCCATTGTTGGTGGGAGTGCAGACTGGTGCAACCACTATGGGAATCAATATGGAGATACCTCGAAGAGCTGGGACTAGAGGTTCCATTTGACCCAGCCATCCCTCTGCTGGGTATCTTCCCAAAAGAGTTAAAAGAATCATATCACAGTGATATATGAACATTTATGTTTATAGCGGCACAGTTTGTAATAGCTAACACTTGGAAACAGCCCAATTGCCCATCAACTGGAGACTGGATAAAGAAGATGTGGGGGTTTTTTTGTTTGTTTTTTTTTATAAAATGGAGTACTACTCAGCCATAAAGAACAAGAATCTAGAGATATTTATAGCTAAATGGATGCACATTGAGGCCATACTCTTAAGTGAAATAAATAAGACACACATGTAAATACTGGATAGTTTCTCTGGTGTGAAAAACTAAAAGTGTAAATAAGGATCAAAATGTGTAATTGATATTGTGTAGTAGGAAGAAAAGGTCTAAAAGAGTACAGGAAGTGGGAGGGTAATTGTGGGAAAGGTAAAAAGGAAAAGAAAAAATATGTGAAAAGGTGAAACATGGCAACAATGTCTTTGTAAACAGGGAAGGGTGGGGGGGGGAAGGGAGGGCTGGGGATTGGGGAAAAATAAGAACCAAGATACATCATGTAAAGGAACAAGATCCCATTGATGAATGTAACTGTACTGCATACCTAAAATGTACCAATAAACTTAATTTATTAATTTGGGGAATGAAGAGCTACACGTGTATGTCAATGTGGTCATAATAAAAAAGTTTACAAAACTCTTCCAAGATGGCATTTCGCTAGACCCTAATGAAGATTTCTCAGGTAAGCTAGGGTTTGTCACACAAAGCAATAATCTGACCTGACTGCAGGTTGCTTGAAAAACATGAGGCGGAAAGCTCTCTTAATTGCAGACAGAAGGTGAAAGCTTCCTTTTATTTCATATTATAGTGGTCTTCTTTGGCCTCGATTAGACAAGGATATTTAAAAATGAAAACCTGCTGGGTATGGAGGCTGAGGCAGGAGGATCACCATGAGATCAAGACCAGCCTGGCCTACACGGGGAGTTCAAGGCCAATCTGAAATACATAGCAAGGGCCTGTCTCATAAAACCAAAAAAAGGCCTACCAGAAGGGTCTGGATTTAGACCATGGAAGCTATGTACAAGTGATAGCATATATTTGTTACTTATAAGTATTTAAAATGTATCGGGATTTTTATAACCCGTCTGGTGCTATGGGTTTTTTGTTTGTTTGTTTTTTGTTTTGATACCGGGGATCAAACTCAGGACCTTGCGCTTGTGAGGCAGGTGGCAGAACCACTGAGCTAAATCCTTGGCCCCTGTGTTTTTAATGTATACACACAGACCCTCAGCAAATTGAAGTGACCTGCACCTCTCCCTATTTCCACTGGTCCCTGAGAGTAGAAGATTTTACTTCGAAATATAACAGCTGCTCGCAGCTACTAAGGATCTGTGAGGTCGATTCACAAAAATCTAATACAGAATTATTTTAGCGCAGGACCTAGAAGGGAAGAGGAATCTGCAATGCACACTCTGTAATTCCTTCTGAAAGTGGCTGAGTGTCAGAAATGAGGATTTCCAATGTCTGAGACCAAAGCTCAGGGCCGAGCACAGAGGGGCAACCGTGAGCCCTGGGCTTCACCCCTGAGAAGCACAGCAAAGGCTCTGGCAGGCAGTGGGAACGTTTTTTTTGTTTGGCTTGGTTTTTTGGTTTCTTGAGACAGGGTCTCACTATGTAGTTGAGACTGACCTGGAACTCACTATGTAGCCCAGACTGGTCTGGAACTCACAGCGATCCTCCTGCCTCAGCCTCCTGAGTGCTGGGATTACAGGCGTACACCACCACGCCCGGCTACCCTTAACATTATTATATGAACTTAAAAAAAAAATCTATGACTTTTTAAAAATAATTAAACTGTGTTAAAGTATGAGACACCCACCCCCCAAAAAACTATGAAGAGAATGAAAAGACTGAGGAGGCAAGTAATGATAAAGAGAACACTGTGGATTCTTACAGAAGCGAAAGCGCCCTGCCTGGCCCAGGTGGCACCGCTCACTATGCATTTGTCAAAACCCATAGATCTGTGGTACAAGTGACCCCCTGCATAGTCTTGGCCTTTAATGAATGACTGTGTATCAACACTGACTCATACTTGTAAGAAAATGTACCACGGTAAAGCAAGGTGTGAACAGGAGGAGGAGATGTTGGAATTTTCTCTACTTTCTCCTCTTTTTTTAAACAACATCATCTTTACTGAAAGCCATCCATGTTAGCAGTATTAAGAAACGTTGATTTTCTACTTAGAAAATCTTCAAGAGCCGGGCGTGGTGGCTCATGCCTGTAATCCCAGCACTCAGGAGGCTGAGGCAGGAGGATCGCTGCAGTTAGACGCCAGCCTGGGCTACATAGTGAATTCCAGGTCAGTCTTGACTACATAGTGAGACCCTGTCTCAAAAAACCAAAAAAAGAAAAAAGAAAAAAAGAAAGAAAGAAAATATTCAGTCTAGTTCATATATTCTTATGAAACCCACAGATTAGAAAAGTCATTTTCAAGTGTGTGCGCTTAGTGACACAAACCAATTTCTTTGTTGCACATTTAATTAATCTCAGGTCCTATTGTAAAAGATAGGAATCCAGAGCGCTATGGTTATCCACTCACGTAATAGCCTCCAGTGCCCACGGTGACTCCGACCAGCAGGTAGTAGATAGTTGTGGACCCAGGTGGCCCGGGGACTTTGTTAGTTGACATCCGACGTTGGAAAGGCACTAGGACAAGTTACAACACAGTTACCTTCGCTACTGAAGCAGAACCCTTTTCAATAATTAAGTCTTTAAAAAGTGTTTATCCTCAATGAACCTGGAGTCTTCTAAAACGGAGCGATTTTAGCTTAAGGGGCTGCAGTATCACCAGACAGGGTAGTAATTCCACTGGACATTTTCTGGGTCTGACTTGCTAAATGCTAATGCAGCCTGTCCGGTGTGAGAAAAGGGTTAGACCAAAGCACTAAACAATCCTGACAGCCAAAGGAGACCCGGATTAGCACAACAAAACTATTTATGGTGTGGACTCCTCTACAGGATTAAGTAGAAATGGTTGTTTTGCCAAAACGTAAATTAAATATATTATAAATTTATTTATTTATAAATTTTATTTTATTTTATGCATTGTAAATTTATATCTAAAAAAAAAGAATTAGGTCCAGGGATGCAGCTCAGTGGCACAGAGCCTGGCTGGCAAGCTCTAGACCCTGAGTTTGATTCCTGATACAAAAAAAAAAATTTTATCTAAAATTTAAACTTGCATTTAGTAGCCAGGCATGGTGGCACATGCTTGTAATCCCAGTACTTGGGAGGCTGAGGCAGGAGAACTGCTGCAAGTTTGAGGCCAGCCTGGGCTATATAATGAGCTCAAGGGTGGCCTTGTCTCAAAAGAACACAAACAAACAAACAAAACAAAAAATTTTTTTAAAACTTCACATTTAGTGTCTGGGGATTTAGCTTAGTGGTAGAGGTAGAGTGAATGATTATTTTGTACAAGGCTGTATTTTATTTTTAATTTTTAATGTTGTTAGAGACGAGGTCTCTCACTATGTAGCCCAGGCTGGCCTTGAACTTGTGGAGATCCTCCAGTCTCAGAAGGTCCTGGGTTTGATTCTCAGAGCCGCCAAAATTTTTTTTGGCATTTATATGTTAAATCAAACATGGATTTTTTTGTTTCTTTCTTTGTTTTTTTGAGACAGGGTCTCACTATGTAGTTGAGACTGACCTGGAACTCACTATGTAGCCCAGGCTGGTCTCAAACTCACAGCGATCCTCCTGCCTCAGCCTCTTGAGGGCTGGGATTACAGGCGTGCGCCACCAGGCCCGGCTACTAACTAGAAGTATAATTCTTAATGCCTATAGATGATATAGATAAAAATAATGTATTATTATACTTAAACATCTGTGTATGTACATATTTATTTTGTGTGTATAAGATGGTGTCTTGCTATGTAGTTCAGGCTGAACTGAATCAAGATACCTTGTCTCAAACAGAAGGAAAAGAAAAGCACCAAATTAAAAAAAAAAACAAAAACAAAAAACCAACCCATAAAGAAATAAGATGTTTGGCTGGGGATTGAGCTCAGTGGTTCCACCACCCTCCTCAAAAGCGCAAGGATCTGAGTTCTATCCCGGGTACACACACACACACACACACACACACACACACACACACACACACAAAGAAACAAGATGTTTTATGCATCCAGGTAACATACAGGAGTGCACTTAGTACGTGGAGGAGCATAACGGGTGCAACTGTGAATTTGACGGAGGTCTGTAGCCTCAGGTAGTTAGAGTCTACAGTCTAGGGGGGGCCGTATGGACAGAGAAATCACTGCGATACCCGATGGAAATGCTGAGCAAAGCTCAGCTCGTTGATTCAGGGTAGCACTTAGAGCAGAATAGACCCAGGAGTCCTGACAGAGCGAGCACAGACGCAGGGAGGAGCACGAGAGACATGCTTTGCTTTGCACCGAGCACATGGAAGGCGTGTGCTGTGGATAGAAAGCTTCCTAGCAGCAAAACCACAAGTCCTTGTTTATGTTCTCAGTTTGATTGCAAATTGCCATTTCTTAGGGGAAAAAAATCCCTACACATGTGCCCCAAGAAGCTACGATGAAAGACTTGACTGGTGGTGAGACTTCTGTTGTCTTACAAGTACATCTGTGAGTTAAGCATGTGCCTTAGAGTCCCAACTGCTTGGAAGGCTGAGGCAGGAGGATCACTAGAGCCCAGGAGCATGGGGCCAACCTGGCTAAGATAACATGACCCTACATTTTAAAGGGAAAAAACAATCTGTGACCAAATAGGGAGTATAACTTGCATATTTCTCAAGCAGACAAAAATATCAGAATCTTGGCTTTTTGTCAGTGCTAGAACTCAAACCCAGAGTACTATACATGCCCTACCCCTCAAAAAGGTTTTGAAAAAATATAAAGGAAATTACCAGATTTAAGTAGACTTAAGTATAATTTTGGCCCACTTACTTAAAATAGCAATGAAATAGGAAATATTTAATACAGATTAATTAAAGTTTACACACTGTGAAACATTCATTTTATATATATTTTTTTTTTTGGGGGGGATACCGGGGATCGAACTCACGACCCTGTGCTTGCAAGGCAGGCGGTGGCACCACTGAGCTACATCCCCGGCCCCCAGACATAATTTTGTGGAAGAATGTTAACTTATGTGAGAAAATATTTATAACATACTAAACAACACAGGAAAGTCACAGTGTGAGGGACTATGGAAAAGTTGTGGAAGTGGTGTGCTCTGGAGAAAGCAAATCCAGAAAACCAAATTAGGCTAAATATACTAAAACGGAAATAGCAGTGTTCACTGAGCAGTAAGTTTACTGCTTCTGTTTTCTATTTTGCCTTTCTGGTCTTTTATACACTCAAATGATTTAGTCTCAAAGAAGTTAAACTCTTGTTTTTGTTTTTTTGAGGCAGGGTCTCACTATGTAGTTGAGACTGACCTGGAGCTCACTATGTAGCCCAGGCTGGTCTCGAACTCACAGTGATCCTCCTGCCTCAGCTTCTGGGATTACAGCTGTGCACCATCTCACCTGGCCAAGAAGTTAAACTTTTAAAAGCAAAAAAGAGAACAAAATTTGAAGAGATGACTTTTACCTGTCCCTGGGGGGTAAAAACACCTGAAAATTTTATTTTCCCAAATATAAAGTGCTAATAAAAAAACTAGGGCTGGAGATGTAGCTCAGGGGTTTGGCAAGCAAGAGGTCCTGAGTGAGATCCCCGGTGCCAAAAAAAGTTAATGCCCAAAAGTGAATTAATTTAAATTTAAACTTCCACTTAACAAGGGTTTTTAAAATACATAAATCAGTGCAGCAAAAATAGCTACTAGATGTGTATTAGAGAAAGATCAGTACTCCTACAACCAGTACAGCTAACTGCAGCTTTAGAATTGTAAAACTACTTTAGTTTGCTCCACCTTGGGGAGAAAAGGATTCGAAACTTGTGCCGTCAGAAAAAGGGTTCGCCTGTCTTCGGCGAGGGCCTGGGCCGGATGGGTCCACCCTCCTTCCCACAAAAAAGCAGTGTCTTCCGGGGAGTTTAGACTGAGGGCTTCTCTTACCTCGAGGGAGGAAAAGGAAATCGCCCTCCTGCGGGGTGGAAAGGACTTCGGATCCCGCCGCGTCCTCGTCCTGGGCGCTACCCTTTGCGCCACCCCATTCACCAAGCCCCCGGGGTGCTCTGCGGTCTCCCCTTCAGGGTGTTCTTTTTAAAAATTGATGGGGGAGGAGAGAGGAGAGAGAGAGAGAGAGAGAGAGAGAGAGAGAGAGAGAGAGAGAGAG